AAGAATTTACATTTGGCAGCTTTAACGGTTTTCTGATAGTGACGCCAACTCTCCCTTAACATTTGAAAAGACACCTGGAGCCTGTCCTTCCTCCACTTTCGTTCAGCTTTGCGACACTGCCTCCTAACGGCTCGCGTGACGTCATTCAGCCAAGGCTCTGATTTAAGTTTTGTTTTTCTGGTCTTAAGGGGAGCAACACGGTCCAGAACATTTAAACAGGCAGAGTTGAACTGAGAGGTTAGCTCCTCAGTGGTAAGAGACACCGAGAGCTGTTCGATCCTCTCAGAATTAAAACCTTCATTAAAACGAGCAGCAGTGAAATGGTTAATGGAACGCGTACGTGCAGGAACGCACGTCTTAGCAGTATGACAAGGGGGGGGTGAAGTCAAACAATACAGGCATGTGATCTGAAAAAACATTGTCACCGATTTTCAAATTAGAAACAGAGACATCACGTGTTAAAACGAGGTCCAGCGTGTGACCATGTTCTTGGGTGGGGCTGCTCACCTGCTGAGCTAAGCCAAAAGAGTCCAATAAATCCAGAAAGTCCTTCACTAAGGGCTTCTCCTGACAACACACATGCAAATTAAAGTCACCAATAAACAAAAAGTGAGTGTATCTCTGAGTGATATCAGCCAAAAAGTCAGAGAATTCATTTATGAAGTCCTTAGAACGAGGTGGGAGGTAGATGAGCGCACACAGGACCGGAGGAGAGTGTCCAAGTTCAAAGGCGCTCAGCTCGAAGCTGGCGCGGGACACCGGGATGGACAACTGTTTACACGCAAAGACAGTTGAGGAGGTCCTGATAAGATGAACCTCACATCCTGTGTAAATGTTCCAGCACAGTCATGTAACACAATTTTTTAGCCTTACCTAAACATATTTGTTTGTTTTGGGGATCTTTTTTAGCATCCAAGCTGTTTTAATTATCATACAAATCGTTTTATTCTATACAAGGTTTGAACTCACCGAAATAAGAAATCAATGCGACCTTTAAGTGTTGGATTATTTATTTTATTTGCTGTTGTTGTTTTTCTGTATTTACTTCATTGTCTGTTAAACATTGGGTTTTGAAATTTATA